ACAAATCAGTGGAAGTAGGACTTGTACCTTAGCATCCGAACCACTTTAAAAGCTTCCTTTGACTTATTTCACTTTCGAATTCATTATCACGTGGGTTTATTGGCTAATCAGCGTTACGCACGTGACAATTCGTTGGTGCCAAAAATACACAGCATAACATTTATCTTCATAGTGCCCCAAGTGGCTGAGCACTAAGAGAAACAAAAAGTGTTGGTACACGTCCGCCATTTCAGTACTACAAATCCCAGCTGGTGTACTCAAATACTGAACCCATCCACACCACATTAAGCATATAATGACAGAATTGAAAGAATAAGGCCAAAAGAACCTAATCAAGCAACCAAAAAAACTCATCACTAAACACGCACGATACTTAGCACTTGAACTCCTTCAATGTTCGTTAAGTTATTGACATTCCAGTGCTCATTTATAATGCAATAATAAAATCCATAAATTTATTGAAGGAATTCAACAAACATGTAGCATACTCTTACAAAATGCAATTTGTAGATTGTCCAGATCCAGAGTATCTTAGAAAATACGCAACATAATTCCTAAAGCCAGTAAACAAGAAAAAATTTAAAATTACAAAATAAATATTATGACGAGTCTAAGCTAAATCACCTGTAACTCTCACCTACTAAAATTCATTAAATAATTATATGAATTAAATTAATCACATGATAGAAGTCGAAAAGGGAAGAGGTTTAGTGATGATGGAAAAATAGAAGAAATTTAAAATTAATTGCAACATAATTCCCTGATAAATTAGGAGTTGATGATTATTTACTGTAACTAGGTGGAAGGCCTAAGTTGCAAATAAATTTATTACTTTTATTTCAAGTATTGTTGTTTGTATACAATATAGTATTGTTTATGAAAGTGGCTTTGATACCATTTTTGTTTGAAGAATTTGATTTTTCATTTGATTGATATCTACTACAGAGTTACAAGCATTATGCAGGCCAAAAAAGATCCATTGACTCTCCTAATTATGTCAGTTACAGATTATACAATATATTGACATAATTAGAAGATTACACAATATAAAGAGCATCCCAATACTGGCTAAAATATTATATTAGAAAATATTTGTAATAGTATTTATGTGAATGTGAATGGTTTGAATTGAAGTTAATTTAATGTTGAATTAATAATTAAAGCAATAAATAATAAAGAAATTAAGAATAGCAATTTGATATAAATATTACATGTGTAAAATGTATATTTAAATAATTACACAGGATTCAATGTACAGTAGAACTTCTTTATAGTTATAATGTTGGGACTAATAAAATTTATTACTATAAGGAGGTTATAATTTAATAGAGGTGTAGTTACAAGAATTGTTGTTTTGATTTCTTATTTTATAATTCGTGTTTTAGTAGTATTAGGATTTCAATTCATTGTTTTAGTAGCATTAGGATAGTACGAAAATGGATATCAAAGAGTTACTGTAAAATTGAGTGATCAAATTCGACAACTTCACTACACTAATAAAATGGATATTAATGTCTTCCTCAATCATCTAAATGAGCAACAAGTCGTGTATGTTTTAACTGAAGAAGAAATCATTACTGGAATTAGACAAGAAGAGGAATGAGATAATCCTGAGGATGACAATATGGAAATACCAAAAATTTCATGCCAAGAATCTCTAAACATGCTTGAGAGCTAAAAATATTTTGGCTTCAATAAGAAGGTGTCCATGTTGGTGGCTCATTACGTACCCGCAAGATAAAAGATGTAGTAACAACTCTAAAGCATAAATCATTATCCCAAACAACTTTGATAAATATTTTATTTCATCTTAAACCTTTAATGTAACATAGCTTATAATTTTTGCAATATACATATAATTATTATGAGGCAAGTTTTTTAAAACGGGACCTAAAAAAGTTATAACTTATTAAAATGTGAAATTTATTCTTATTTATAATTGGCCCAAGTTGGGACCATAATTTTTTATGACTACATGGAGGTTATTCTTATATAGAGTATCATTATGGAGAGGTTTTACTGTATATCAATTTAATCCAAATAAGTAATATAAAATAGTATGAATAATATTATTTTGTAATTAACCCGTTTTCACCTGCGATTGGACCGGTGTCAGTGTGCCGAACCACCGGTGGAACCCGTTTTGTGTGAAAACCGAGTTAACACTTTTCTAGGGTTCCTTTTTTTCGTTTATTTCAATTCTCTTTAATTCATTTACAAAGTTTTAGTGTGCTGAACCACCGGTCCAACCCATTTCGTGCGAAAACCGGATTACTAGTTTTTTAGGGCTCTTTTCTTTTCCTTTATTTCATTTCTCTCCAATTCCTATACCAATTTCTCTCCTCGATAGCTTTGTCTTCTGATGTTGTTGACAATTCTTTCGAAGACACTTGTAGTGTTTGTTTCAAGTGTTTTTCCACTATCGACCCAGCCTCTATATAACTCATCTTTCTTTTCAATATATCAAATTAGAGCCCTATTTGTCTAGTTTCCAATGCTTTAATCCATTCATCAATTATAATTTTATTGAGTAAGTTATGACCAATTTACTATTGATTGTTCAATGGAAACCGAGTAGCAGAGGAAAGCAAAACTTATTCAGATAAATGGTTTGGCAGCAAGGTAGATTCCATATCAAAGGCAACATACAATATATCAAATTAAAGCCCTGTCTATCTAGTTTTCAATTCTTTAATCCATTCATCAATTGAACCTTTATTGAGCACGTTATGTTTAATTTAATACTAACTGTTCAGTGGAAACAGAGAAACAGAGGAAAGCGAAATGTTTTGTATTTTGGTGATAGAAACATCATTGGCTTGCTTCCATTCCACTACATGAATCTTTTATCTGTAAACAACAACAACAACAAAAATTAATTGATTTTGATATTAACATTGTGAAGAGATATTCTTATCGAATTGTTGAGACCAACTGTATTGTTGAAACCAAGCTATAACATAATGCAGCAATAGTCGACCGACGATGTCATGGTGGAATGGTATCATATCACATAAATATAGATAAATATTTAATGAGAATGTGAAACATTTGTATTTATGTGAATATGAAAGGACAAACATGAATCGATAGATCTTCTTGTTTGAATAAACAAACTTTTAAGTAGACCTTTGCAATGCCACTATTTGATATCATATCTTTTCAACCAAAATGTGAAGGGCCTACAGTTATCCAAATTCAGCATATAGTATATCAAATTAAAGTCTTGTCCTGTCTAGTTTCTAATGCTTCAATCCGTTCATCGATTGTACTTTTATTGAGCAAGTTATAAACAATTTATTACTAACTGTTTAGTAGAAACCGAGAAACAGAGGAAAACGAAATGTTTGTGTCTTTTGGTGTGTAAAACGTTAATTGTGTGTCTTTTGGTGTGTAAAACGTTAATTGTGTGTCTTTTGGTGTGTAAAACGTCCAATGAACATGGATAGCATTAGATGTTCTTAAATTTGACTCTTGAGTTTTCTTTTGAGTAATAATATGTGTCATTAATACTAACAAATATCAAACACCAATTACATTAAGCCATGTGTAACAAAAAATTCTACACATCCATATATCCTACATTATCACCAATTACATGCAGTCAAATGTACATATCCTATATCATCACTAATTAAATGTAGTTATATGTCGAACAATCATCTAACATATCAAAATCTACCAATTTTAGAGCTTTAAAAATCCTACATGTCAATCAAATAGGTTATGTTTCAGGATTATATAAATATATAGATATAGATTGAATTCGAAGGCATGTGTTCGGTTACACGGCGTCGTCTGTTCTCGTTTCTAAGTTATTGAGTGGTGAATATTTTAAGAGTCCTGTCTATGATCTTAGACTTACATTTTCATCCTAATTAAATATCAAATTCCTAATACTTTTAATTACTACATGTTTAACCTTGTAATTTGTTTAAGTTTTACGCTATTTACATATCTACCCTTAAAATCTATTCATCGAGTGGATTTCCAAGGAAAATCTATAGCCGTAGCAACTAGTCAAGTCTAATGCTACTTCTTTCCTATAGTGACATTTTGCCCTTCAAAAACATTTTTATTTCCTAAAGACATTTTGTGAGTAGATATTAATTAAATTAATCAAATTTTTGGGGGGTTAAATGATATAGTTTTTTAGGGTTTAGAAAGGTAGTTGTTTAACCCTCTATGTTTTTGGTTAATTTTGAAAGTCCCTTAGTATTAAAAAAAAAAAAAGTGTGAGAGTGAGATTGAGGTCTTTCTTTATTTCTAATCCTCTTCTAGAGTTGTTCATTTATATCAACAATAACCATCGCTCTTTTGTATACTTCCATCTATGTTTCTGGTTTATTATTTATTATGATTATTGCTATTATTGTTATTTCGTAGGCAACACCATGATTTTGCTTTTTGTTACACCCTTTAAAAAGCATATCTGTTATCTTCCCAACTTTGCTTCACTATGGTATCTTTTCTTCGAATCAAAGAGTTACAATATCTCACTATTTAATTATTATAGTTGCAGAAAAAGACCAAACTAACATGTTGGACTATGTTCATTTGCATGTGCTACCATTTCCAAGCATTCAATTACCTACACAAAACATTCAAAGAAAACCTCTAAACTGTAGCATCATGTTTTTGATATTTCTCGTCTCTCTTTCAAGTTCTTGTTTCATCTGCATCTTTACCTCCATGTGCCATTTCCCTTCTCCAGTTTATTGACAGCCTCCCACAACAATCCCAACATATATTGTTCTGGAACCACTCCATTTCAGCTTGCCAATGGCCAGGCGTTTCTTGTTACAACAACAATACTTTTCACATCAAGGCCTTAAACCTCTCAGGCTTTGGAATCTCTGGTGTTTTAAACAACTCCATTTCTTATATCTGCCAAAATAAGTATCTACCCTCTCTTGACCTTAGTGGCAACAATTTTACTGGTAACATACCTCTGCAGCTTGGGAAATGTGGCCAACTCACCACTATTCTTCTGAACGACAATGGCTTTCAAGGCCCCATTCCTCCTCAACTTTTCCAATCAAGTCAACTTTCAAAGCTTGACCTGGGCTATAATTTCCTCTCAGGTAATATTCCTCCTGAGTTAAGCCTCTGCCAGAGTCTTGAGTACATTGGAGTTTAAAACAATTATTTAAGTGGCGAGGTTCCAAGTGAAATATATTCTCTTCCAAAGTTGGAAGTTTTTGTATTTGAACACAAATAACTTCACTGCTTCATTACCAGAATTCTCAACTTCATGTGCAATTTCCCATCTTTGGATTCATGAGAATGCATATTATGGATCTTTATCTCTTACACTCACCAATTGCCACAATCTTACTATGTTAATAGCATCTTTTAATAATTTTGGAGGGGCTATTTCACCGGGATATTTAAGGGTCTTTTACAGCTTCAAGTTCTTTACCTTGATGAAAACAACCTTGAAGGGCCCATTCCTGAGACTCTGTGGAGTCTTGAAAATCTGCAAGAGCTTGTTCTTTCAGGGAACAAAATCAATGGAACTATATCTGATAAGACTGGTAATTGCAAGCAGTTGGCTGTTGTTGCTCTCTCAGGTAATAATTTGGTGGGTTACATTCCTAAATCAGCAGGAAATCTAAGCGGCTTAAACAGTTTGTTTCTCTTTGATAACATGCTTGAGGGCTCATTACCTCCTGAACTTTGAAACTGCAATTCACTTGTAGAACTCAGGCGTCAGAATAACTTTATTGGAGGAACTATCCCTCCAGAAGTTTGCAATCTTGACAAACTTGAGGTTCTTTATCTATTCAATAATTGTATCGAAGGTTATATTCCGATTGAGATTGGTAATATGAACAACCTAGTGCAGCTGGCTGTGTATAACAACAGTTTGACAGGTAGAATCCCATCAGCAATAACTGATTTGAAGAAACTTAAATTTCTATCCGTAGCTCACAATAATCTCATTGGCGAGGTTCCATCTGAGCTTGGGAAAAATTCTCCATATCTAGAAAAATTGGATTTAACTGGGAACAGTTTTTATGGGGCAATTCCTTCTAGCATATGTATTGGCAATAAACTTTCAGTTTTATCCCTCGGAAACAATCATTTTAATGGGAGCTTCCCAATTGAAATCGGAAAATGTTCATCTCTCAGGAGAGTAATTCTAAGGAACAACCTTCTCCAAGGAAGTATTCCTGCTAACTTGGATAGTGATAGACCTCCCATTAAAAATGTCTATCAATACAAAGGGCATAAGGGGCAGTAAGTCGCTGGGAGTGTGAGGTGCATGTTTGTTGGGAGAATTGGTTATTACTGTCACGTGCTGGTGGGGAATCAAGTTGTTAGTGGAGGGAATATTTTAGTTAAGGAAATAGTATAAATAGAGAAGTTAGTTTTAGGGAAGGACACGACAATATTTTAGAGTCATTAAGGGAGGCCCCCAGCTCCTCGAATTGCTGGGAACTATCTGTTTTCAGTTCTTATTGTGTAGTTTTTCTCTAATCTCATTCTCTAGAAATATAATCCAGTTTAGCCTTGATTTGGTGAACTCTTTTCTCTGCTATTTTGGGTTGTTTGTGCTATTTTTGTGGTAATTGTTGCAGGGAGTCCCATCAAATTGGTATCAGAGCCTCATTTGGGTGATGGTTAAATCGAAGATGGAGAACAGAGTTGAAGGGCTGGAAAAGGAAATGGGGAACGTAGAGAAGGAAATGGAAAATGTGAGGGAAGAGCTAGGGAGCATCAAAGGCTACCTACTGGAGCTTCGCAAATGGATGAGGGTAAAGGAAGAAAGGGATACAAATCTGAGCCGCGATAGGGGAAAGACATCTCACTTTGAGCTCTCCAACAATAGTGACAGCGGGGGAGTTGATAGGAATAAGGAAGTAGAGAACTCAAAGGATGAGAGGAAGGGGAAGAAGTTGGAGCTACCAATATTCAACGGGGAAGATCCTTATGGTTGGACATTCAGAGCTGACCGATATTTCTCGATGAACCAATACGAAGAGGGAGAAAAGGTGATAGTGGCCGTCGTGTGTATGGAGGGTCGTGCCCTGAACTGGTATCAGTGGGTGGAGTCTAGAGCACCAATCAGTTCTTGGAAAGACTTTAAGACCATCGTGGTTGAGAGATTTAGACCGTCATTTAAAGGATCAGTTTATGAAGCTCTTGTAGCATTGAAGCAAACCGGTACAATGACAAAATACAGGGAGAATTTTGAAACTCACGCAACTCCCTTACACAAGGTAGGAGAAGATATCCTGATGGGGGTTTTTACGAATGGGCTAAAGGAGAAAGTCAAAGCTGAATTACGTTTTGCGCTGATGGACCAGGCCTATCGTGTGGAGGAAAGAAAATGGGTTCTAAAAAAAAAAAAAAAAAAAAAAAAAAAAAAAACAGACCCAGGTTTGCTAAGGCCCAAGTGAATAGAATGGATAATTATACTCGGGTCACCCCAAGCCCAAAACCCGGGTGCCCAAACTCATGGGTCAATCCACCACGAAACCCAGAGTTAGGTCAGAATTTGTTCCCAAATCGATTTCACGACAAAAATCGATTTGTCGAATCCATGACGCCGAACTTTCGCGGGGAAACTTTTCAGCGAATGTCTGACGCTGAATTGCAGCACAAGTGTGACAAAGGCCTCTATTTCTGCTATGATGAGAAATTTGGGCCAAATCATAAATACAAGAGCAAGTTGATCCAAATCTTGTTAGTGACCGATTATGACGAAACGGAAAAAGACGAAGTCAGTCCTGAACCCATCTTGGAAGCTTCCGATGAAGGTAACCTTTTGGCTTTATCTATGCATTCAATTGTAGGGGTAACCACAGATAAAACCCTAAAACTTAAAGGGATGGTTGGAAGGGAGGAGGTGATTGTTTGGGTTGACAGTAAGGCTTCCCACAATTTTATTTCGCATGATTTGGTGCGAAAATTAGGTCTGGCAGTTGAGAGAGGGAAATCATTTGGGGTTATGGTAGGGAATGGCTTTACAGTCAAAGGGGAGGGTATTTGTAGAGGAGTGAAATTGAGGATACAAGGGATTGAATTGAGGCAAGATTATTTTCCATTTGAATTAGGAGGGGCAGATGTGGTGTTGGGAATTTCTTGGCTCAGTACATTGGGCGATGTGTGTGCCAATTGGAGAAATCTGACAATGGCATTTATCAATGAAGGGAAGAGGGTAGTTTTACAAGGGGATCCTTCTTTAATCAAGATGGTTGGTCACTTAAGGCAATGCTAACATCTCTGCAGAGGGAGGATGCTAGTTATGTGATTGAATTTTGCTCCATTGATATTAAGGGAGAGGAAACAGAGGAACCCGTCGATCCTACAGCTGCTACAGTTGTAGATGGATTTAGCCACCTGTTTGAACAACCTACTAAGCTACCACCTAAGAGACCCACTGACCACGCAATAGTCTTAGAAGCTGATGCCAAACCCCCTAACATTCACTCATACAAATACTCATATTCCCAAAAAAATGAAATCGAAAAGTTAGTGGGTGAGATGCTCGTGGCAGGAATTATACAACCCAGTACCAGTCCTTTTGCTAGCCCTATGTTGTTGGTTAAAAAGAAAGATGGTAGTTAGCGTTTTTGTGTAGATTACAGGGCACTCAATAACCTCACTATCCCAAACAAGTTCCCTATCCCCTCAATTGATGAATTGCTAGATGAGCTGTCAGGGGCAACAATTTTTATGAAACTGTATCTAAAATCAGGTTACCACCATATTAGGATTAAGGAGGAGGATGTACCGAAAACAGCCTTTCGGACTCACGAAGGGCATTATGAATTCCTGGTCATGCCTTTTGGATTAACCAACGCCTCTTCCACCTTTCAAGCTTTAATGAATACCATCTTTAAACCGGTTTTGAGGAAGTTCACACTCGTGTTTTTTGACCATATCCTCATTTACAACCCTGATTTGAAGACTCACCTGCTCCACATGAGACAAGCCTTTCAAATCCTCACCAAGCATGAATTAGTAGTAAATTACAAGAAGTGTATGTTTCCCCGTCGAAGATTGGAGTATTTGGGTCACTTAATTTCATCAAAGGGGGTAGAGGCTGATCCACATAAGATTGAATCAATGTTATCTTGGCCAATTCCACGCACAATCAAAGGATTAAGGGGATTCTTGGGGCTAACTGGCTACTATCGCCACTTTGTACAGAATTATGATTTAATCACGCAGCCTTTAACACAATTGTTGCGAAAAGACTCTTTTGTATGGAATGACCAAGCACAACAAGCTTTTGAAGCCCTTAAAACAGCAATGACATTAGTCCTTGTTCTGGCAGTCCTTGATTTTACCCTTCCATTTGAAGTTCACACGGACGCTTCGGGACAAGGTTTTGGAGTTGTCTTGGTACAGAATCAGCGCCTTATTGCATTCCTTAGCTAAGCCTTCTCCAGCCAGTCCTGACAAACATGGGTGTACGAAAGGGAACTAATGGCAATTGTGTTTGCTGTCCACAAATAGAGCCACACCTTAGTGGGCGAAAATTTATCATTAAATCTTACCAACGAAGCCTGTAGTTTTGACAGATCAACGAGTTAAGATACCTGAGCAGCAAAAGTGGATTTCTAAGCTCCTAAGGTTTTCTTTAGAAATCCATTACCAACCTGGAAGCTCCAACCAGGTGGCTAATGCCTTGTCTAGAAGAGGAGAGGGGACTAAATTGGAAGCCATTTCGGTGGTCCAATTTTCAGAATTTGATGACTTAGCAGCTGAAGCACAACAAGATCCCAAGCTCCAAGCAATCATCCAAGAACTTCTTTTTGACCCCTCCAGTCGACCCCATTATGGCTTTCGCCGTGGCTGCCTCATCTACAAAAACAGGTTGGTCTTACCAAAAAATTCGAAGATCATTCCTAAGTTGTTAGACGAATTTCACTGTAGCCCAGGAGGGGGCCATTCAGGTTTTTTCAGAACATATAAAAAACTTATGAATATAGTGTTTTGGGACGGTATTAAGAAGGATGTGCAGGATTATGTCCAGCGGTGTTCCATTTGTCAATTAAATAAATATTCTGCTCTAAAACCAGTAGGCCTCCTTCAGTCCTTATCCATTCCCTCCTAGGCTTTTGAAGATATTAGCATGGACTTCATTGGAGGGTTACCCAAAGCAAAAGGGCAGGATACCATAATCGTAGTAGTGGATAGACTCACTAAATACGACCATTTCATTTCCCTGTGCCACCCCTATAGCGCTAAGGATGTCGCTACTGTTTTTATCTCTGATATTATGAAGCTCCATGGTTTTCCAAAGTCCATTGTTTCAGACCGAGATAGGGTCTTTGTCAATCACTTTTGGCAGGAACTGTTCAAGGCCGCTGGCACCTCTTTGAAGTTTAGTTCGGCATACCACTCTCAAACCGATGGCCAAATGAAGGTGGTCAACCGTTGTTTGGAAACTTACTTGCGATGTTTCTGTAGCTCGCAGCCCAAACAATGGCATCGATGGTTGCCTTGGGCAGAAAATTGGTACAATACCATATATCACAGCTCCACTAAAATGACCCCCTTCAAAGCTCTATATGGCATGAATCCACCCACTCTCCTCAAATTTACAGATTATCCTTCCTCAGTGGAATAAGTACACCAGCAAATGGCTACACGAAATTCCATCTTGGATGAGCTAAAGCATAACTTGTCTGTTGCTCAAGGGCAGATGAAGGAAACAGTTGACCTACGCCGTCAGGATATTAATTTTCAACCTGGAGACCATGTGTATTTGAAGCTCCAACCATATCGTTTCAAGTCATTGGCCAAAAAGCTGAATGAAAAGCTGAGTCCTTGGTTTTATGGCCCTTTTCCCATACTGGAGAAGATTCGGCAGGTTGCTTACAGGTTGGAGCTACCCTCTACGGCAAAAATTCATCCAATCTTTCACATCTCTCAGCTTAAACGAAGTCTGCACACCTTTGTACCCATCCAGCCACTTCCAACTTTCCTCACCGAGGACATGGAACTTCTTGTTCAACCAGAATCGGTGTTGGCAGTCCACACTTTATTGGATGGCTCTCGAGAAGTTCTTATAAAATGAAAGGACCTAGCTTCATTTGAAGCTTCTTGGGAGGCTTACGATGTTATCAAGATGCAATTTCCTCATTTCCACCTTGAGGACAAGGTAGCTCTTCATGGGGGGGTATTGATAGACCTCCCATTAAAAATGTCTATCAATACAAAAAGCATAAGGGGCATTTGGGGCAGTAAGTCGTTGGGAGTGTGAGGTGCATGTTTGTTGAGAGAATTGGTTATTACTGTCACGTGTTGGTGGGGAATCAAGTTGTTAGTGGAGGGAATATTTTAGTTAAGGAAATAGTATAAATAGAGAGGTCGGTTTTAGGGAAGGACATGACAATATTTTAGAGTCATTGAGGGAGGCCCCCAGCTCCTCAAATTGCTAAGAACTATCTGCTTTGAGTTCTTACTGTGTAGTTTTTTCTCTAATTTCATTCTCTAGAAATATAATCCAGTTTAGCCTTGATTTGGTGAACTCTTTTCTCTGCTATTTTGGGTTGTTTGTGCTGTTTTTGTGGTAATTGTTGCAGGGAGTCCCATCAAATAGGAACTTTGGGGTATCTTTTCTTGATGTTCGCAGAAACTTGCTTCAAGGAAATATACCTCCATTATTTGGGTTTTGGAGTGATCTGACAATGCTTGATTTTTCAGAAAATAGGCTATCTGGCTCTATACCTTATGAACTTGGAAAGCTTGAGAATCTTCAGATCTTGAGACTGTCTAGCAATAGACTAACAGGAAACATTTCCGCTTAGTTTGGTAATTGCACACAAAAATGATCAAATTGGACCTCAGCTGGAATTATCTTTCAGGTAGAATTCCTTCAGGAATAATATCATTGGCGAAATTGCAGAGCATTTTCCTTCAAGAGAACAAACTTAGTGGAGCTATTCCTGACTCTCTCTTCCACACAAAGTCTCTTTGAGTTGCAGCTTGGGAGCAATATGCTTGATGGTCCTATCCCCTGCACCATGAGTAATCTTCACCATTTCAGTTCAGTTTTAAATATAAGTCACAATAGGCTCTCAGGTCAAATCCCAAGATGCCTTGGTAATGTAGCAAGTTACAAATTCTTGATCTCTCAAGCAACAGCTTCTCTGATAAGATACCAACAGAAGTGAAAAACATGATTTCGCTTTACTTTGTGAACAAATCGTTCAATCTTCTCTCAGGAAAACTCCCCACTACTTGGACTAGATTAATGGCTTCATATCCAGGGTCTTTTCTTGGAAATCCAGAACTTTGCTTGCAGGGTAGTGAAGCAAGATATTGTGGGGAAACTGGAGGCGGCCATAATACAGGAAAGGTGCTGGCTGGAGCAATTATTGGAGTGGTTATCTCTGTGGCATTGCTATGTGCTTTGATATACATATTAGTTGTTCGAAACCTGCAAAAGAAATATTTGATTGATCGATCTCTTCTACAAGAAAGTCAGTTAAGAACTGAAAATTTACCTGGAGGATTTAAAATTCGAAGATATTATGCGAGCTACTGAAGGCTGGAGTGACAAGTTTGTAATAGGAAGAGGCAACCATGGAACTGTGTACCTAACAGAATCAAGCAACTCCAGAAAACTGTGGGCGGTGAAGAAAATAAATTTGTCGGAGACAAACTTCTGTGTTGAGATGACAACTTTGCGCTTGGTTAGGCATCGGAATGTTGTAAGAATGGCAGGTTACTGCATAAAAGATGGATATGGATTCACTGAAACTGAGTACATGCCTGGTGGGACGCTTTTTGATATATTGCACAACAGTGAACCTCGCTTGGTTCTGGCTTGGGACACCAGATATCAGATTGCTTTTGGTATTGCTCAAGGCCTTTCTTACCTTCACCATAATTGTGTGCCACAAATTATTCATAGGGATATCAAATCAGATAACATATTGTTGGACTCTGAATTGGTACCAAAGATAGGAGATTTTGGAATGGCAAAATTAATATCTGATTCTTATTTGAGCTCAACAAGATCAGCAGTTGTAGGAACACTAGGCTATATTGCCCCAGGTTAGCTGCATATTGTTATGCATTCTTTCTTTCAGTTCATATTAGAAGGTCACTTTCTAAACTTGAGTGTCTGGCATTTTTGTCTACCCCCGAAAATGCATACTCGATCCAGCTGACTGAGAAGACGGATGTGTACAGTTATGGAATTATTTTGTTGGAGCTTCTTTTTCGAAAACTGCCAGTAGACCCCTGCTTTGAAGGCGGCATGGACATTGTCTGTTGGACAACAAAAAAGCTACAGGAAAATGAAGAATGCATTTGCATCCTTGACGAGGAAATCAATTTCTGGGATAGCTAGCCATGATCAAAGAAAGGCACTAAGACTATTAGACTTGGCACTTGAATGCACCAAGAAGTGGCTGATATGAGGCCCTCCATGAGAGATGTAGTAGGATTTCTGATGAAGTTGAATGATAAACATGAAATCAGTGTAAATAATAGGCCAAATGCAAGGTTATAGAACTTAATGCATAATGTTTTATTGCACTTAATTGTGTGGTTTTTTATGTATTCTGCAGAAAAATGCACCGTAAAGACATGGCCAAAAGGCAGTTACCTACCGCTTTTCTTGCCCCAATACAACTATACATTTTTGGTCATTTTAGTTGGATTTCCAGCAGAAGGGTTGGATTTCCAGCAGAAGAGTTACTATAAAACCTTGAAGGTTCTCATTGTTTAAAACTACATGTTCCCTGGATTAGAAATAACTTCTACAAACGCTGTACAGTAAGAAGGGCTAATCAGAGTTAAAAAGAATGTTATGTCGGAGGCTTTAGAGTGTTGTTTGACAGGCTGAATGCGAGCCAAGTATGGACCAAAGTTACAAGTCTCAGAATTAGTATCAGAATCAGCATCAGCATTAACAATAATGTCCCCAAATCTCTGAAGAAAATACTAGTTTATATTTCTGAAACTTCAAGGCAATGTTGGTTGGTTACGTCTACAACTGCATGAATAAATACAGAGTAACAAAGCAACCCCTCACTATCCCTATTCATTCTGCATGCAAAACTTTCACGACTAACATAGGTCACCAGGGTTTAGGGTTTAGGGTTTAGGGTTTAGGCACCAGCTCTTGCTAGAAAACTCCAATGAATCATCAAAATCAATAATCTCTGCTTCTTCCAACCATTCCTACCTTACCAAGAGGTGTCTTAGGTCTTGCCCAGGAGATGACCTAACTAGTGAATACGAATGAATGGCTATAAAGGTAGGTTTTTTTCAGCATTTGCTTATCAATTCACCAAAGCTATTTAAAGTATAAAGAATTCCCCAGACATGTTAATACCTCAGATCTGTCACAGAGTTACCATCATGTGAATAACAATACTGAGTAATGCTTCCACAAAATATAAACACTCCATGTACCACTTGTTTGAGAGCAACAATAAAAGAAATTTTCTGGGTATGACTGTATAGTCTACTCAATACCAAAATGTCAATGTATCTATTTTTAAGGCGAATTCTAATTTAAGAATATAAATTAAACATATGGGTGGAATTTCATTATTCATACAAAACTACAAAGCCACAGATGAATAATATAAACCCAAAATGCTGAAAGCAACTAGAACCACAGCACAGCACTATTTTTAAGCCTCCAAACTTCAACATCAAATGTAAATGGCAACCAATGTAAAATGCAGAAAACACAAATTCTTCATGAAAATCTGTCAAATGATTGAGCATTCCTCGGTGATACAGAAAAGTCAAGTTGTAATTATTTTATAAAAAGGACAGAAACAAAACCAAAGAGAGTACAAAAGCCATGTTAAGGGGGCAAACTAAAGAAATTATAGAGCCACAACATGAAAGAAATTGCTGGAGCAAGCCTCACAGCCCCTACTCTATAGCCTCCACGTGTTGTGAAGCTTCAGTTTGTTTCATACTTTCTAAACCAGAGATTCGTCTGTCCAATGACTCATGGAAGCCTTTCACCTGGAGAGACAAAGACAAAAACAAAAAGAACAAAATTTTTATTCTTTGAATATTTTTTTTTTTTTTTTTTTTTTTTTANTAGAGATGGGTTGATGCTTTGTGATCATCACCCGACAGTTATGAGAATCGGGTTGATGCTTTGTGATCACCACCCAAATAGCCATTAGAGATGGGTTGATGCTTTGTGATCATCACCCGACAGTTATGAGAATTGGGTTGATGCTTTGTGATCACCACCCGAATAGCCATTAGAGATGGGTTGATGCTTTGTGATCGTCACCCGATAAGTATTAGAAACGGGTGGATGCTTTGTGACCACCACCCGATTAGTTATTAAAGAAGGGGTTGATGCTTTGTGATCATCATCTGACATTTATTAGAAGTGGGTTGATGCTTTGTGAACATCACCCGACAGTGATTAGAGACGGGTTAATGCTTGGTGCTCGTTACCCGAAAGTTATGAGGAACGGGTAGGTGCTAGGTGGTCTCCACCCGATAGTTACGAAAACCGGTAGGTGCTTCGTGATCCCCACTCAGTAGTCACTAAGAACAGGTTGGTACTGTGTGAATTCCACCCGATAGTCATGGAGAGTGAGATAGTGCTGTGTGAATGCCATCCGGCCGTACCTCCGGTAAGGTGAGGCCATGATGTTTAGGAGAAACAGAAATAGAAACAGAAATAGTGTAAGGAAAGAATTAAGAGTAATACATACGGGGATAAACAGATAGAGGGTTTTACTTACTGAGCATTATTTTGTGCTCACCCCGTTATTTTCCTTTGTGGATGCAGGATCTAGGTGACGATGCAGTCGGAGGGGCATCGGCAAGCGAGGAGCAATAGCTACACTGTTTCCCCTATTTTTGTCTTTTAAAATGGCTTGTAAATGATGCTCTTTGTGTATAAAAGACGAATTACTTTTAATAAAAAGAAAAGTTTTGGGCCCATTTTCTATTGTTATTATGCATTCATTGTACTAGATTTCAGCAGTTGTTACACTCTTCCTCCACCACTAGGGCTTTCATTAACCTTTAGCTTAGCCCCGTTAGTCATGTCCTTTCCGAAAGTCAACCTGAATTCCTTGTTAGCACCCAACCCGTCAGTCTACCCATTTTCTCAAATTGGGCTCCCTAATTTTCCTCCACCACTAGGACCTCCATCCTCTGAATCCAGTGATCCAACCACAATTCTTTCTGGTTCCGGATTACATTAAGCGCTTCGGCATTGGCTTGCATTCCGCTTACATTTTCCTTCTCAGCTGGAGCTCTTTCCAAATGGCTTCCTCCCAACCCATCCTCGATCAAATTCCTAAGGACTTCTCCTCCATCACATCCAAAACGCTAGGGTCGGTGGCAGGGGTTATCATGTAGCCAGGGACGTAGCCAGGAATTCATTCTAGGGGGATCAAGACGTTAATTAAACTTAACAATATAATTGTAAATAAACTTATAATAAATAATAGATTGGGTATAAGTTATACAAAAATATGAGTATTTATTTATAATGCTCTTTATAATTAATATATTTATGATTGTGTTTAACAATATGAAATAAATTTATAATACTTTAACAAGTGTAAAACAAAACCAAGAAAATTTACTACTGGGCAAGTTATTAAGCCAACACAAATAACAACATTTCCAAATTAAGCTATAATAAAATTTCCATTAATTAAATATTCAAAGATTTATCTAGCTTTCATAGTAAAATATTTTAACTTTTGTTGTAATTTCACTTTTATGTTTTGACCCCTTAAAATAATGCATCAAAATACAGATTTTTGATTTATTTTTTCTCTTAAATTCAATATTT